GTATTGTAAGCTGTAGAGTAGCCTTGTTGCTACGATCAGCTGAGATTAAGCCCATTGTTCTACAGATTTGTTCGAAAGAACAACATCTCTCTTTCCTCTTCTCTTTTATTTTTTTTTTATTTTTATTTTTATTTTTTATCTTTACAACGATACTTAAGGGGTAATATAATTAAACAGTGAATTGGACTTGCACGCGCGCACGCCAGCGACGATGGTTTGTGCTCCGCAAAGATTTATTTTTATTTTTATTTTTTTTAATTGACAAAAAAGATGACAACGTCGTTTTTATTTTTTAAATACGGTTCTGAAGGGACATACAGAAAATGATTCCTCAAGTCTTTGAACCTCTCTGGATTAATAACTTGAAAAACATTCCTGTATGAATTGGGCTGGGACTTTGTTTGCTTTCACGATGCAGGAGGAGAGCTCTTTCGCCAATTTTACCAACTCTGTATTCAAGTCCTTGTTTCCAATAATCCGAACTGATGTTTTGTCCTGAAAAAGCCCCGCAATATTTTCCAGGATGTTTTTGATCTTCCCTGTATTTTTACAGAGTTCAAGCGCACTTTTTATTGAACGGAGTTTGAGTTTGGAATGTTTCTTGCCATCTTTTACTCGAATGGCAATCTCGTTGAATAGAATTGCTGCTGCTCTTCCACTTCCACTCTCCAAGCTGTCATGCCCACTTAATGTAAAGACTGTGTATGGTTGCATATTGTGGGACTTGGTGATGTTACTGGAGGCTCTGCTGGAATAAAAAGTTGAGATGTGATTGAATTTGCTTCGCAGCTGGCGCATTTGTTCAATCTCATTTTGGTTTGACTTTGTCTCCTTCTTACTTTCATAAATCTCATAGGCCTCTTGAACAGATTCACAATCCAAAAAAATTGCCGTGGCTCTTGAAGATTCAGTGTCTTTTAAGGAGAAGCACGTTGTCATTCCGCCTAATGATGGGGATACCTTTTCGTCCAAGCGAATACAAGATGTCACCAGGATGTTGAAAGCTTGTGTCCCAATCACAAGTCGATCTCCATCTTTGGAATTCATTGTGAGTGGCCAAACGTCTGGGTATTTTTTCTTTCCAAAAGGAGGAATTGATGTTTGGGGGGCGTGGCCTTTGATTAGCCGGAAAGGCTCCCGATGGGCGTCAACTTCTTTCTTTCGACCAAAAATCTCAAGACAGTTGATCATTACAGCTTGGTTGTTGGTTTTATTATGTAAAATGGACCCTGCAAACATTCTCGCACAAACATGCTTTAAATAAGGCCTGGAAACCCAGTCCTCGTTCAAGATTTTGGTATTATCCTCCGAGAGCTCAACAAACTTCATTTCCAAAAGGAGTTTCGCATAGGGCGACACTCGGAGGAGACCCTCTAAGCCAGGAGAGGGGAAGCTTGAACAGCGGCTGCAAAACGGTTTGTCCTGATTCTTATACAACTGTGTGGAAGCAACGGTTAAAGCCACTGGGCTATCAGCCGACAGCTCGTCGAGGATTGGAACATGTCCCAAAAGGGTGTGATTGACGCCTGATTTTGTGATTAGAGAAATTGGTGCAAGTTCAAAACACTCTGTGAATAATAACGTCTTCTTTTTCTCATGGTCTGTTGCATCCAACTGCCCCCGCAAGCAGTAAAAACCATTTCCTCGAAAGTTCTCTTGGAAGAGAGTGGGGTTGCTGGTCCCGTTTCTTGGGAGCCTGCTGATTCATCACCTTCATCATCAGCCTTACCCTGGCACCTTCTCAACTTAATGTGGCTTTTCATCCCACGTGTAGTCCTAATTTTCCTCTGGCAAAGAGGACAAGTAAAATGACCATCTACGCGATGAATTCGGTGAGGAAGATCAAAACCTTGTGTATTAGGGAGAGACACACAACATTCCTCACTGTGATAATCATCACGGTGATCTTTCAGATGTTTTTTCGAGCTGAATTTCCCTTCGCAGTCCATGCACTGATGCGCCTGGTTTTCCTCATGAGAATCCATTGAGCTACGAGGCAAATAAAAAGAAAAATTAGGACGATGTCAAGGAGCTTTGGGGCAAAACATAGGGCGGGTTCATGATAACACCAAGCGGGTCCATGACAAAAAAAAAAGAAAGGCGGGTTCGAGACAAAAAAAAAGGAGAAAGGCGGGTTCGAGCACAAGAAAGGCGGGTTCGAGACAAAAAAAAAGAAGAAAGGCGGGTTCGAGCACAAGAAAGGCGGGTTCGAGACAAAAAAAAAGAAGAAAGGCGGGTTCGAGCACAGGAAAGGCGGGTTCGAGACAAAAAAAAAGAAGAAAGGCGGGTTCGAGCACAAGAAAGGCGGGTTCGAGACAAAAAAAAAGAAGAAAGGCGGGTTCGAGCACAGAAAGGCGGGTTCGAGACAGAAAGGCGGGTTCGAGACAAAAAAAAGAAGAAAGGCGGGTTCGAGCACAAGAAAGGCGGGTTCGAGACAAAAAAAAAGAAGAAAGGCGGGTTCGAGCACAGAAAGGCGGGTTCGAGACAAAAAAAAAGAAGAAAGGCGGGTTCGAGCACAAGAAAGGCGGGTTCGAGACAAAAAAAAAGAAGAAAGGCGGGTTCGAGCACAAGAAAGGCGGGTTCGAGACAAAAAAAAAGAAGAAAGGCGGGTTCGAGCACAAGAAAGGCGGGTTCGAGACAAAAAAAAAGAAGAAAGGCGGGTTCGAGCACAGGAAAGGCGGGTTCGAGACAAAAAAAAAGAAGAAAGGCGGGTTCGAGCACAGGAAAGGCGGGTTCGAGCACAGGAAAGGCGGGTTCGAGACAAAAAAAAGAAGAAAGGCGGGTTCGAGCACAAGAAAGGCGGGTTCGAGCACAAGAAAGGCGGGTTCGAGACAAAAAAAAAGAAGAAAGGCGGGTTCGAGCACAAGAAAGGCGGGTTCGAGTCAAAAAAAAAGAAGAAAGGCGGGTTCGAGCCCAAAAAATGACATGGGCATGAGCATGAGCATTAGCATGATGCTGGAGATGATGGGCATGCCAGAATGATGGACGGAATGGCAGAATGATGGACAGAGTGATGGACAGAATGAATAAAATGATGGACAGTGATGGACAGAATGATGGACAGAATGAATCAATGATGGACAGAATGGACAAACAAAAAAATATTCGGTTAAGGGGTGGAAAAAAGACAATGTTTAAAAAAAAAAAGGACAAACAAATTTTTTGTGCTGGAAAGAGAGAGAAGTCAGCGAAAACGTGGGATGGAATAAAAAGGCAAGGCAGGCAATAAAATGTCGTGTGAACTTCTTTTATTTTTTTTAATCAACAACAACTACTCTCTTCGTGAATAAGAGCCCTTCAATGGAAACACCTGTTGCAAAGAGAAGGAAAAAAAAAAACAAATAAATGGAAAAGAGAGAAGGAAGTACCTGTTGCAGAGAAGGAAACACTTGTGGTAGTAAGAGGAAAAGAAGAAAGAAGGTGTCAGCTTTTGCAAAGAGAGAAAAAAAGAGTGAAGAGGATGGAGAATGTTAGATGCAGAGGGAGAAAAAGAGAGAAGAGGGTGCAGAAAGAGAGAAAAGAGAGAGAAGGGGAACAATGACAAAAAGAAAAGAAAGAAAAGGCCAAAAGCAAATCGAGAGAAAAATAAAATGAATGAATGTGAAATGGCCCCTGAAAATGGGTCTGTTCAGGATCATGTGCTTTTTGTATTCTAGCCCGCTATTTTTGTATTTATTTATTATTTTTTTATTTTTTTATTTTTTTATTTTTTATTTTTTATTTTTTTATTTTTTTAAATGCTCTGTAGAAATTGCTGCACCTGTGGAGATGGGTAAAATCCCCGCAACGAAGTAGGCACCTTTGCAAAAGTCAGATCCTGAACTGAACGAACACGACTTAGAGCAACATACGCCTGTCCCGAACAGAATAAGCCTCCGAGATCGACATGGGTTGCTCCCTGAGACTTTAACCACTTGGAGGCAACACTGAATTCTCACAGCAAATAAAATTTGAGGCGACTCCGCCGGCTCAGTGACGAATGACAAGCAAAAGAGTGATGGAGCACAGTCATCAAAATGTTCTTCACTAGAAAAAAAAAAAAAAAAACAGAAAGTAGCTCTACTAAAATAAAAAAAAGATCGTCGACCGTGGACTTTAAACGTCCAAAGCTCCTCCAATAGTCGCACCTCAGACCCGGGACCTGGATCATTCGAAAGAGAATACTCAGGGCTATCGATGGACCAAATTTTGAAAAATCCGACACGACACCCCCCTTTGATGTCCCTAAGTACAAGCTCTTCCTAAGTGCATACCATGGTGGCTAGAACCAACTTCCAGCTGCATCCATGCCTAACATTAGATCCCAAAACTCAATGAAAAAAAAAAAAAAAAAAAAAAAAAGAACAGACCCACCCGCTCTCTTGTTCCACTTTTCATTTTTTTTTTTTTTTTTTTTTTTTTTTTTACTTCACACCAATGTCTCTTTTTCATTTTTGCTCCCCCACTCACTCTTTTTCTCTCTCTTTTTTTTTTTTTCACTTCACACCACTTCACAACTTACTCTCTTTTTGTCTCTGTCTCTTTTTCATTTTTGCTCCCCCACTCTCTCTCTTTTTTTTTTCTTATTTTATTTTCTTTTTTTTCGATCTCTCATTCTGTGCCCTCAAACTCGCTCTCCCTTTTTATTCTCTCTTTCATTGAGTTCCCCCCTACTCGCTCACATTTTCTTACTCCATCTCCTTTCGTTCCCACAGTCGAAGACTATGCACTTAGAGGAGGCTACTCCACTGTGATTTTTTTTTTAAACGTCCATAACTCCTCAAATACTGGGACCAGAGACCTGGGACCAAGCTCATTCGAAAGAGGATACTCTGGGCCACATTGCAGTTTAGTTCACAATCACGTGCTACGATGAAAAAATATTTTCTTACTCTCGACCGGGAACTTTAAACGTCCATAGCTCCTTCAATTCTGGCATCTGTGGCCTGGGGCCTAGCTCGTTCGAAAGAGGATGCTCAGGGCTACCGATCCACAAAATTTCACAAAATCGACACAACCCCCCCCCTTCGATGTCCCTAAGCTCAAGCCTTATCCAAGGGTCAAATTTGGTGGCAAGAACCAGCCGCCACCAATACCCTGTACTGCGTACTGAGACTTAGGTGTGCACCTCCTTGACTTCAGCGTACGTAGAAAACATCTCTAAACACAATTCGTGCCTTAGTGGATTACCGTGTCTAAAAATAAGTTATCCTTTGTTAATGTGAATAAAAAAAAAATATAAGAATATAGGAATAAAAAGTAAAAATTACAGCACAGAGTATTCCCATGTGGTCCCCCACCATAGTACTGACTCTGCCATCGATTTCTTAACTGCGCAGATCGGACGGGATGCGGTGATTTTAATCGTGTATGGCCGTAATTCGGAAATATAGAATTCTGTTGCTGCTTTTGTCTCTACTTTTTGACAGTTAAGCTCGTCTCTAGTTCATTCATGCTCATTTCTAGGACATTCATTCATACTCGTCGCTTGATCCTTCTCATTCTTCACTCATGTTCATTTTTAGGTCCTTCATTCTGACCTCATGTTCCTTTCTAGGTCCTTCATTCTTCATTTCTAGGTCCTTCATTCTGCACTCCTGGTCATTTCCAAGGCATTCACTTCTAGGACAATTTAATTCAACATGTCAACATGCGACGATTACCGCCTTTTCCGATAATTAGTTGAATACGAATAGAGCTTCGGCTCCTGAATCATGCTACGTGGGGTGATCTTGTGGAGCGGAAAGGCTTCATGAGGTTCCTGCTAATGTTAATTTCAAATATTGGAAGAGATAAATCCATTGCAGACGACTTTTAAGCAACGGTGTACTGTAAGCTGTAGAGTAGCCTTGTTGCTACGATCGGCTGAGGTTAAGCACTTTTTGTTGCACAGATTTGTTCGAAAGAACAACATCTCTCTTTCCTTCTCTTTCTTTTATTTATTTTTATTTTATTTTTTTTCTTTTTGAAGCCTACTTAAGGGCTGTATAAGAATACATAAAGACAGACTTCGAATCGGATTGTTTATTGCTTCTGTCGCTCTGCCTGCATTTGTGTGTGTTTCCTCGCTTTTATTGCTTTTAAAGCCCTTGTTCTTGACGTTGCCTCGCATTCTCCTTATCCTGCAAAATGGCTTCCACCGTGGCTTGAATTGCAGGCCGTACCTGTTTTTTGTTAATGTCGCGGATAACTCCACATAATCCGCTTGCTAACATTACTAAAATTGTAGAAGCCTCAGCATTGTCAGTCAACTTCAGTTTTTTTTTGTTCGAGGGGATTAATTCCAGGAGTTCCATTATGGCGTTTTTCGTAACAGGTGCTTTTTGACTTTGGTCGGGACTATCAAGCTTTCGAAGTAGCTTTAGTAGTCGCTTTCGCTTGATTGATCTTGTATTCGCAATCTGATGAAATATCGATGCAGCTGCCTTTACCCCCGATATGACCCTGCTGCCTTGGTAATAGTTCTCCAGTCGAAAGATTGTTGTAGGGTAGCATGCCCAGTTTGCAAATAAATAGAACATTGACGCACTCTGAAAGTACGTTGCTTTACAATGGAATTTTGACCTCAGCTGCCTTTCAAGTAAAAGGTTTTGTTGCCAGTCATCCCGGCCCCAAATTGTGGTATATGCTCCAATGTGGGCAGTTGAGTTATTAGCTCCAACGTCAATGGCTCCTGAAACCAATTCAATTGAAGCCGTAATAAGGGCGCTCCATGTGTGAGTTCCAATCACGAGCTTATTGGTGTTGTCGTGGTTAATTGAAGACACTCTCTTCAAATCCAGAGTTGGCTTTAATAGATCGAAGCAATGAGGGTCTTCCTTTGGTTCACGACCATAAACTTCAGCCTTCAAGATGAGGATCGCTTGCAATCCTGTTTGAATTACTGCTCCTGCGAGATTTTTGGCAATATCGAATTTCAAAGCCTCATAGTTTAAAAGAAAGAATGTTGCATCTAATGGCTTGTAACGCTCAATATCAATTAGACGACCATACCGATGCGATGATAAAAGGAACTTGAAGTCTTTTGGCTCCATGGAAGAAGGCTTCTTTGGCTTCTTGATAGGATTGATGGCAATGATCTGATCTTCGGCTGTCCGCTTTGCTCCAATTTGAGTTAATAGAGCTATAGATCGAGCTCCACTTTCATGTTCCAGTGAAAAAGGGACCAGGGTCTCGAGAAAACAGTCGGAAAAAATTGGATTCTTCGTTGCAAGGTCAAGCTCCGCCTTTCCTTGCTTTAGCACCTCAATGTCATCTGAGGCATCGCTTTCTGCCAGCTCGCGAGGCTGTGTATGGGCACCGAAATGGTGGTCCAGTTCCAGTGCCGATTTCAGTGTTTCTCCGCATATGGGACAAACAAATCCCGAATCATTCTTTTTTCCATGTCTATTTGTATGCTTCGTTATGCCATCTCTTGTTTGGATGGGCTTACTGCAAACTGGACAGACGAAACAACCTTGTACACGCATTAAGACAATTGACTCTTTGATCCCTTGTTCATTTACCAGCCACACTTTGCACTTCCTTGAGTGGTATTCACGTATATGCAGCTTTGCTCCTTCTTTGTCTTTAGATACTTCCTGACATTGCGGGCAAGATAATCCTTTATCATTAGGCATTTTTTAGCGCTGGTAAAATGGTGCCAAAGAAAAATAGAATAAGTCAGAGACAGACAGCAAAATAAAGTACAGAACAAAGTTTAGAAAAAAGAACAGACAGCAAAATAAAATACAGAAAAAAGACAGAAAAAAGAACAGACAGCAAAATGAAATACAGAAAAAAGTACAGAAAAAAATACAGACAGCAAAATGAAATACAGAAAAAAGTACAGAAAAAAATACAGACAGCAAAATAAAATACAGAAAAAAGTACAGAAAAAAATACAGACAGCAAAATAAAATACAGAAAAAATAAAGACAACAAGCCAAAAAAAAAAAATCTTGAACAGAGCGCACGTTTAGAAAAGGGGTGTTACAATAATTCAGTGTTTAGTTTGGGAAGAGGGTTTTTTTTTGGATTGCAAACCCGTTCACTTCAAAAGAGTCATTGGAGAGCAAAGGGTTACAAGAGGGAACATCCTGTGATTTTAGGAGAAATGAGATGCAAGCAATAAAAAAAACGCTGAAAAACAGAAAAGAGAAGAGTAGAAAAAGTCGTGGACTGAGTGCATGTAAAAAAACACTGCAATAGACAGTGATGAACAACAAAAAAAAAAGTACAAACGAAGGTGTGCTCCCTTACATCAAAGCAGCAACGTTTTTTTTTTTTTGTCAGTCCAAAGAGTCGCAACGCGGGAATGTCAGTAAAACAAGAGAACACCAAAAGAAAAAGGAAGGCTTGAGTGTATTGAAAAATGAGAGAATGCTTTCAGTTTGGATAACTAGAAATGAAGTAAAGGTTTTGGGAGAGTTGAGTAAAATGTGAGAAAGTGAAAAGTGGATGATGTGACGAAAGGAAGGAGAGAGGGAAGTAGAAGAGTGTTCTGAAAGAATAGTAAAAGATGCGGGAAGGAAGAGAAGAAGAAAGAGAGTGGGTTTGAGGACAAGGAAGAATAAAAACATCGTGAGAAAAAAGAAAAAAGAGAAAAAGAAATGGCCCTGAAAATGATCTTTGCGAAATGACGTGTATTCAATGTGGATGTTGGTGTGTAGTTGGTGACAGTTGGTGTCTGCCAAAAAAAAAATTTAAAAAGGGGCAGTGAGACATTTTTTTTACACGAACAGAAGGGAGATAAATTAACACTGTTGTCTTTTTTTTTTTTTTTTTGAAGATTGCAAAACCGTTCCGTTCAAAAGAGGGGAGTAAAGGGAGAAACAGAACCAGAACAAGAGGGCGTCCAATGATGTAAAAGAAATGATATAAAAAAAGTGCTGAAAAAAAGAAAAAGAAAGAGTTGAGTGCACCAGAAGAATGAAAAGATCCTGTTGCAGCGAAGGAAACACTTGTGGCAGAGAGAGGAAGAGAGAAGGTGTCAGCTTTTGCAAGGAGAGGGAAAAAAAGAGAGAGGAGGATGGAGGATATCAGTTGCTGCAGAGAGAGAAAAAAAGGGAGAAGAGGGTGCAGAAAGAGAGGGAAGAGGAACAATGACAAAAAGAAAAGAAAGAAAAGGCCAAAAGCAAATCGAGAGAAAAATAAAATGAATGAATGTGAAATGGCCCCTGAAAATGGGTCTGTTCAGGATCATGTGCTTTTTGTATTCTTGCCTTCTTTTTATTTTTTTATTCTTTCTTTTTTATTTTCAATTTTTTCGCCAATGAAAATAAAAAATTTACTAGTAGCATACCAAATCACAACCACAAAAAGACCCGTATCTCCACCAATACTGGGGCCTATGGCCTGAGACTTTAACCACTGGAAGATATTACTGGATTCTCACAGCTATTAAAATTTGAAGCGATTCCGTCGGCTCAGTGACGAATGACAAGCCAAAGAGTGATGGAACACATTTCATCAACATGTTCTTCACTAGAAATAACAGAGAGTAACTCTACTAAAATAAAAAAAAGATCGTCGACCGTGGACTTTAAACGTCCAAAGCTCCTCCAATAGTCGCACCTCAGACCCGGGACCTGGATCATTCGAAAGAGAATACTCAGGGCTATCGATGGACCAAATTTTGAAAAATCCGACACGACACCCCCCTTTGATGTCCCTAAGTACAAGCTCTTCCTAAGTGCATACCATGGTGGCTAGAACCAACTTCCATGCCTAACATAAGATCCCAAAACTCAATGAAAAAAAAAAAAAAAAAAAAAAAAAAAGAAGAGGTTATCATCAAAACGAAAAAGGAAACACAATCTCTTTTTGTCCAAAAAAAGACAATCGATCTTTTTTTTCGTCCAAAAATGGACGATCGATCTTTTTTTCGTCCAAAAATGGACAGTCAATCTTTTTTTCAGCCAATGAGAACTAAAGATTTTTGTGTAACATAACGAATCACAACCACATAAAAACCCATATCTCCTCCAATACTGGGGCCTGGGGCCTCATCTTTGGATCATTCGAGAGGGAATCAAAAGCTCTCACAGCTACTCAAATTTCAAAAAGATCTACCTAGGACACCATGGAGAAAACCCAGTTAGAGTGCTCAGTCTAGAAGAAATCATCAGAAAAGTTAAAAGTTTCCACAGAAAAAGTTTCCACAGAAATAACTGGCTTGTGGCAGCCAAGCGTTCATAGCGACGTTGCTTTTTGATCCTTCGATGTCGGCTCTTCCTATCATACTGAAGCAGAATTCAGTAAGCGTTGGATTGTTCACCCACTAATAGGGAACGTGAGCTGGGTTTAGACCGTCGTGAGACAGGTTAGTTTTACCCTACTGATGAAATGTTGTTGCAATAGTAATTGAACTTAGTACGAGAGGAACCGTTCATTCGGATAATTGGTATTTGGGCCTGCCTGAACAGGCAATGGCCCGAAGCTATCATCCGTTGGATTATGGCTGAACGCCTCTAAGTCAGAATCCGTGCTAGAACGCGACGATTACCGCCTTTTCCGATTTTTAGTTGAATACGAATAGAGCTTCGGCTCCTGAATCATGCTACGTGGGGTGATCTTGTGGAGCGGAAAGGCTTCATGAGGTTCCTGCTAATGTTAATTTCAAATATTGGAAGAGATAAATCCATTGCAGACGACTTTTATTGAACGGGGTATTGTAAGCTGTAGAGTAGCCTTGTTGCTACGATCAGCTGAGATTAAGCCCATTGTTCTACAGATTTGTTCGAAAGAACAACATCTCTCTTTCCTCTTCTCTTTTATTTTTTTTTTATTTTTATTTTTATTTTTTATCTTTACAACGATACTTAAGGGGTAATATAATTAAACAGTGAATTGGACTTGCACGCGCGCACGCCAGCGACGATGGTTTGTGCTCCGCAAAGATTTATTTTTATTTTTATTTTTTTTAATTGACAAAAAAGATGACAACGTCGTTTTTATTTTTTAAATACGGTTCTGAAGGGACATACAGAAAATGATTCCTCAAGTCTTTGAACCTCTCTGGATTAATAACTTGAAAAACATTCCTGTATGAATTGGGCTGGGACTTTGTTTGCTTTCACGATGCAGGAGGAGAGCTCTTTCGCCAATTTTACCAACTCTGTATTCAAGTCCTTGTTTCCAATAATCCGAACTGATGTTTTGTCCTGAAAAAGCCCCGCAATATTTTCCAGGATGTTTTTGATCTTCCCTGTATTTTTACAGAGTTCAAGCGCACTTTTTATTGAACGGAGTTTGAGTTTGGAATGTTTCTTGCCATCTTTTACTCGAATGGCAATCTCGTTGAATAGAATTGCTGCTGCTCTTCCACTTCCACTCTCCAAGCTGTCATGCCCACTTAATGTAAAGACTGTGTATGGTTGCATATTGTGGGACTTGGTGATGTTACTGGAGGCTCTGCTGGAATAAAAAGTTGAGATGTGATTGAATTTGCTTCGCAGCTGGCGCATTTGTTCAATCTCATTTTGGTTTGACTTTGTCTCCTTCTTACTTTCATAAATCTCATAGGCCTCTTGAACAGATTCACAATCCAAAAAAATTGCCGTGGCTCTTGAAGATTCAGTGTCTTTTAAGGAGAAGCACGTTGTCATTCCGCCTAATGATGGGGATACCTTTTCGTCCAAGCGAATACAAGATGTCACCAGGATGTTGAAAGCTTGTGTCCCAATCACAAGTCGATCTCCATCTTTGGAATTCATTGTGAGTGGCCAAACGTCTGGGTATTTTTTCTTTCCAAAAGGAGGAATTGATGTTTGGGGGGCGTGGCCTTTGATTAGCCGGAAAGGCTCCCGATGGGCGTCAACTTCTTTCTTTCGACCAAAAATCTCAAGACAGTTGATCATTACAGCTTGGTTGTTGGTTTTATTATGTAAAATGGACCCTGCAAACATTCTCGCACAAACATGCTTTAAATAAGGCCTGGAAACCCAGTCCTCGTTCAAGATTTTGGTATTATCCTCCGAGAGCTCAACAAACTTCATTTCCAAAAGGAGTTTCGCATAGGGCGACACTCGGAGGAGACCCTCTAAGCCAGGAGAGGGGAAGCTTGAACAGCGGCTGCAAAACGGTTTGTCCTGATTCTTATACAACTGTGTGGAAGCAACGGTTAAAGCCACTGGGCTATCAGCCGACAGCTCGTCGAGGATTGGAACATGTCCCAAAAGGGTGTGATTGACGCCTGATTTTGTGATTAGAGAAATTGGTGCAAGTTCAAAACACTCTGTGAATAATAACGTCTTCTTTTTCTCATGGTCTGTTGCATCCAACTGCCCCCGCAAGCAGTAAAAACCATTTCCTCGAAAGTTCTCTTGGAAGAGAGTGGGGTTGCTGGTCCCGTTTCTTGGGAGCCTGCTGATTCATCACCTTCATCATCAGCCTTACCCTGGCACCTTCTCAACTTAATGTGGCTTTTCATCCCACGTGTAGTCCTAATTTTCCTCTGGCAAAGAGGACAAGTAAAATGACCATCTACGCGATGAATTCGGTGAGGAAGATCAAAACCTTGTGTATTAGGGAGAGACACACAACATTCCTCACTGTGATAATCATCACGGTGATCTTTCAGATGTTTTTTCGAGCTGAATTTCCCTTCGCAGTCCATGCACTGATGCGCCTGGTTTTCCTCATGAGAATCCATTGAGCTACGAGGCAAATAAAAAGAAAAATTAGGACGATGTCAAGGAGCTTTGGGGCAAAACATAGGGCGGGTTCATGATAACACCAAGCGGGTCCATGACAAAAAAAAAAGAAAGGCGGGTTCGAGACAAAAAAAAAGGAGAAAGGCGGGTTCGAGCACAAGAAAGGCGGGTTCGAGACAAAAAAAAAGAAGAAAGGCGGGTTCGAGCACAAGAAAGGCGGGTTCGAGACAAAAAAAAAGAAGAAAGGCGGGTTCGAGCACAGGAAAGGCGGGTTCGAGACAAAAAAAAAGAAGAAAGGCGGGTTCGAGCACAAGAAAGGCGGGTTCGAGACAAAAAAAAAGAAGAAAGGCGGGTTCGAGCACAAGAAAGGCGGGTTCGAGACAAAAAAAAAAGAAGAAAGGCGGGTTCGAGCACAGGAAAGGCGGGTTCGAGCACAGGAAAGGCGGGTTCGAGACAAAAAAAAAGAAGGCAAGAAAGGCGGGTTCGAGACAAGAAAGGGGGGAGAAAGGCGGGTTCGAGACAAAAAAAAAGAAGAAAGGCGGGTTCGAGCACAAGAAAGGCGGGTTCGAGACAAAAAAAAAGAAGAAAGGCGGGTTCGAGCACAGAAAGGCGGGTTCGAGACAAAAAAAAAGAAGAAAGGCGGGTTCGAGCACAGGAAAGGCGGGTTCGAGCAAGGAAAGGCGGGTTCGAGACAAGAAAGGCGGGTTCGAGCAAGAAAGGCGGGTTCGAGCACAAGAAAGGCGGGTTCGAGACAAAAAAAAGAAGAAAGGCGGGTTCGAGCACAAGAAAGGCGGGTTCGAGACAAAAAAAAAGAAGAAAGGCGGGTTCGAGCACAAGAAAGGCGGGTTCGAGACAAAAAAAAAGAAGAAAGGCGGGTTCGAGCACAGGAAAGGCGGGTTCGAGACAGAAAGGCGGGTTCGAGACAAAAAAAAGAAGAAAGGCGGGTTCGAGCACAAGAAAGGCGGGTTCGAGACAAAAAAAAAGAAGAAAGGCGGGTTCGAGCACAAGAAAGGCGGGTTCGAGCACAAGAAAGGCGGGTTCGAGACAAAAAAAAAGAAGAAAGGCGGGTTCGAGCACAAGAAAGGCGGGTTCGAGACAAAAAAAAAGAAGAAAGGCGGGTTCGAGCACAGGAAAGGCGGGTTCGAGACAAAAAAAAAGAAGAAAGGCGGGTTCGAGCACAGGAAAGGCGGGTTCGAGCACAGGAAAGGCGGGTTCGAGACAAAAAAAAGAAGAAAGGCGGGTTCGAGCACAAGAAAGGCGGGTTCGAGCACAAGAAAGGCGGGTTCGAGACAAAAAAAAAGAAGAAAGGCGGGTTCGAGCACAAGAAAGGCGGGTTCGAGTCAAAAAAAAAGAAGAAAGGCGGGTTCGAGCCCAAAAAATGACATGGGCATGAGCATGAGCATTAGCATGATGCTGGAGATGATGGGCATGCCAGAATGATGGACGGAATGGCAGAATGATGGACAGAGTGATGGACAGAATGAATAAAATGATGGACAGTGATGGACAGAATGATGGACAGAATGAATCAATGATGGACAGAATGGACAAACAAAAAAATATTCGGTTAAGGGGTGGAAAAAAGACAATGTTTAAAAAAAAAAAGGACAAACAAATTTTTTGTGCTGGAAAGAGAGAGAAGTCAGCGAAAACGTGGGATGGAATAAAAAGGCAAGGCAGGCAATAAAATGTCGTGTGAACTTCTTTTATTTTTTTTAATCAACAACAACTACTCTCTTCGTGAATAAGAGCCCTTCAATGGAAACACCTGTTGCAAAGAGAAGGAAAAAAAAAAACAAATAAATGGAAAAGAGAGAAGGAAGTACCTGTTGCAGAGAAGGAAACACTTGTGGTAGTAAGAGGAAAAGAAGAAAGAAGGTGTCAGCTTTTGCAAAGAGAGAAAAAAAGAGTGAAGAGGATGGAGAATGTTAGATGCAGAGGGAGAAAAAGAGAGAAGAGGGTGCAGAAAGAGAGAAAAGAGAGAGAAGGGGAACAATGACAAAAAGAAAAGAAAGAAAAGGCCAAAAGCAAATCGAGAGAAAAATAAAATGAATGAATGTGAAATGGCCCCTGAAAATGGGTCTGTTCAGGATCATGTGCTTTTTGTATTCTAGCCCGCTATTTTTGTATTTATTTATTATTTTTTTATTTTTTTATTTTTTTATTTTTTATTTTTTATTTTTTTATTTTTTTAAATGCTCTGTAGAAATTGCTGCACCTGTGGAGATGGGTAAAATCCCCGCAACGAAGTAGGCACCTTTGCAAAAGTCAGATCCTGAACTGAACGAACACGACTTAGAGCAACATACGCCTGTCCCGAACAGAATAAGCCTCCGAGATCGACATGGGTTGCTCCCTGAGACTTTAACCACTTGGAGGCAACACTGAATTCTCACAGCAAATAAAATTTGAGGCGACTCCGCCGGCTCAGTGACGAATGACAAGCAAAAGAGTGATGGAGCACAGTCATCAAAATGTTCTTCACTAGAAAAAAAAAAAAAAAAAACAGAAAGTAGCTCTACTAAAATAAAAAAAAGATCGTCGACCGTGGACTTTAAACGTCCAAAGCTCCTCCAATAGTCGCACCTCAGACCCGGGACCTGGATCATTCGAAAGAGAATACTCAGGGCTATCGATGGACCAAATTTTGAAAAATCCGACACGACACCCCCCTTTGATGTCCCTAAGTACAAGCTCTTCCTAAGTGCATACCATGGTGGCTAGAACCAACTTCCAGCTGCATCCATGCCTAACATTAGATCCCAAAACTCAATGAAAAAAAAAAAAAAAAAAAAAAAAAAGAACAGACCCACCCGCTCTCTTGTTCCACTTTTCATTTTTTTTTTTTTTTTTTTTTTTTTTTTTACTTCACACCAATGTCTCTTTTTCATTTTTGCTCCCCCACTCACTCTTTTTCTCTCTCTTTTTTTTTTTTTCACTTCACACCACTTCACAACTTACTCTCTTTTTGTCTCTGTCTCTTTTTCATTTTTGCTCCCCCACTCTCTCTCTTTTTTTTTTCTTATTTTATTTTCTTTTTTTTCGATCTCTCATTCTGTGCCCTCAAACTCGCTCTCCCTTTTTATTCTCTCTTTCATTGAGTTCCCCCCCTACTCGCTCACATTTTCTTACTCCATCTCCTTTCGTTCCCACAGTCGAAGACTATGCACTTAGAGGAGGCTACTCCACTGTGATTTTTTTTTTAAACGTCCATAACTCCTCAAATACTGGGACCAGAGACCTGGGACCAAGCTCATTCGAAAGAGGATACTCTGGGCCACATTGCAGTTTAGTTCACAATCACGTGCTACGATGAAAAAATATTTTCTTACTCTCGACCGGGAACTTTAAACGTCCATAGCTCCTTCAATTCTGGCATCTGTGGCCTGGGGCCTAGCTCGTTCGAAAGAGGATGCTCAGGGCTACCGATCCACAAAATTTCACAAAATCGACACAACCCCCCCCCCTTCGATGTCCCTAAGCTCAAGCCTTATCCAAGGGTCAAATTTGGTGGCAAGAACCAGCCGCCACCAATACCCTGTACTGCGTACTGAGACTTAGGTGTGCACCTCCTTGACTTCAGCGTACGTAGAAAACATCTCTAAACACAATTCGTGCCTTAGTGGATTACCGTGTCTAAAAATAAGTTATCCTTTGTTAATGTGAATAAAAAAAAAATATAAGAATATAGGAATAAAAAGTAAAAATTACAGCACAGAGTATTCCCATGTGGTCCCCCACCATAGTACTGACTCTGCCATCGATTTCTTAACTGCGCAGATCGGACGGGATGCGGTGATTTTAATCGTGTATGGCCGTAATTCGGAAATATAGAATTCTGTTGCTGCTTTTGTCTCTACTTTTTGACAGTTAAGCTCGTCTCTAGTTCATTCATGCTCATTTCTAGGACATTCATTCATACTCGTCGCTTGATCCTTCTCATTCTTCACTCATGTTCATTTTTAGGTCCTTCATTCTGACCTCATGTTCCTTTCTAGGTCCTTCATTCTTCATTTCTAGGTCCTTCATTCTGCACTCCTGGTCATTTCCAAGGCATTCACTTCTAGGACAATTTAATTCAACATGTCAACATGATGGTAACGTTCAAATCCCACGACCCTGAGGGTCCTTGTTATCCTCTTCTTCTCTTTTTTTTTTATCTTTTTTTTTTTTCTTTATGGGGTGGTGTGGGAATTGGTGTGGGATGGTGTGGGATGGTGTGGGATGGTGTGGGGTGGTGTGGAGAGTGATGTGGGGTGGTGTGGGAATTGGTGTGGGAATTGGTGTGGGATGGTGTGGGATGGTGTGGGATGGTGTGGGGTGGTGTGGAGAGTGATGTGGGGTGGTGTGGGAATTGGTGTGGGAATTGGTGTGGGATGGTGTGGGATGGTGTGGGATGGTGTGGGGTGGTGTGGAGAGTGATGTGGGGTGGTGTGGG